TAACCCTAACCCTAACCCTAACCCTAACCCTAACCCTAACCCTAACCCTAACCCTAACCCTAACCCTAACCCTAACCCTAACCCTAACCCTAACCCTAACCCTAACCTCCTAACCCTAACCCTAACCCTAACCCTAACCCTAACCCTATCTTTTCTAAGCTCGTACCACATGGAAATTTATCATTTAGATATCTTCCTCCTCCTCAACCATCGACACTGCAAATGAGTTTCATTCATCAGTGGCCGAGGGCGACGTCAAATATAAAGAACTTCGATTTTATTGCGACAGCTATGTTCTGCAGAAAACGCTTTCACTGCATCTCTTTTTTTCTGGCAGAATATCAAGCCTAAATAGAAGCTACAGCATATATCCTCAATTTCAGCGAGAATTTTCTTTATGCATCTATACGAGTTTTTTATCGAGATATTAACCCTTCAAACATTCTCGAAACTACGGACTGCATGGACATTGTAAGTTTGTCCCTCCAATTGGCACATAAAAACTGGCCGATTTGGAACTTTCGATGGTCAACTCCTATCCAATTAAGTGTGGAACACCTGCATACTTAGCCTCATATTGGCTTTTCTTTTATTGTGTAGGAAGATAGTGTTGACTGGGACTTCTTGCTATTCATACACATTTGTGAGTGGAAATTTCACGTCTCCCAGATTCTTTATAGCTATTTAGCAGGACGAGTGTCAGAAAATACGATCTCGTTCCTGTGAGTATAGAGATGGATGCTTGAATTGATGCCTTTTTTGCTTTTAAAAAAATGCTGTGCATTGCAATTAATTTTGGGGTCAATGTACACAAACCGCGAGTCCAACAAAAAATTTATTAAAATGTCCCATTTTGTGCATCAAAGCATTGCTGCTTTCAGTAGAAAGCGCAATAAAGGCTTTTGATCCACTCAGGCCTCTTGGGCATGCTAAACCTTGATTGCCTTGCAATTTTTCTCATTATCAAAAGGCAACTTAAAATTAAGCTTATCCAGATTCAAGGGTTTTTTGGAGTCCTTTGGACAAATGCCGAGGATGGTTAGGTTTCTTCCAACGATACTTGCTTTGATAGCAACGTTTGTGAAATCGTACTTGGTGCCACCACGTTTGAACTGCCATTGTACATTTCTCAATAGTTCCAATGAAGATGGCCTTTTGAATTTCCTTGCAAAATATATCCATTCCTGCAAGATCAGTTGATGAGCTGCCATAAAGCTAAAAATAAAATCTTCATCAGCCTTTGTACAGCTATCTAGAAGATCCATAAAACCAACGGCACCGCCAGAGTATGCCAGATAGTGAAGCATGTCTTCCAAGTCGAATTCTTTCAGATCATAGATGTTAATTAGTGCGGGCGAGAAGAAGAAGTGAGATGGATCTTTGAGCTTTTCAGAAACATCGTTCGGTGTGGCGAATAGTTTTTTTCCTTTGAAAATATCAACAAACACCGGATATTTCGTGTATGTATCGTTTAAATTGAGGGGACCAACAGCGGTTTTTGCAAAGTCTTTTGTAAAATTCACCCTTAAACTATCAAGTACAGCATTGGATATTCCGAAATGTGAAGAGTATGCAGGGAGTACATTTATGTCTTCCAGTTTTTCATGAATCTGTTCCTGCTCTTGGACAGATTCCTGCTCTTGCGTAGATTGGACAACAGTCTCTCTATCCAATGTGGGACGAGTATTGGAGATGGATGGAATCAAAGATATGTTAAAATTGGGGAAAAATGTCCTCCCTACCTCGCTATCTTTAAAGACTTCTTCAATTTGTTTCTTTGGCTTGCTCTCGCAAAAAAAGATCCATTTAAGCTCATCAATTAATCTTCGATTGTTCGGCTTGAGAAGCTTGTCCCAGTTTGGAATTTGATTGCTTTCTGGATTGGAGGGTGACCAAAGGATCTTCGAAACCGTGGAAAAGAAATGTTGCCAGGGTAAAAGACTTTGCTCTTTACGATCCCTCCTGAACTGGTTCAAATGCGCAGAAGTAAAAATTCTTTGCAAGGTAACCTTCTCATCACCCGGAACATCCTCTGGAAAAATCTTGGGTTTCGATGAGAGCGTTTCCCTCTCCTCCTGACTCAATGCTGAAAGCATAGCTTGGTCATCTTTCAGAAACGAAGAAACAAAAAACCTGATTTGATGGCGTGGAAGATCTGGAGGAGTAAGCGGAGCCGTATCCGATATTCCATTCAGCAGCTTTCGGGCTCTTAAGAGTCCTTGATAAAAGCTCTTCGTGTACACAAGCGTCGAGAAAGTAACCACGCAAATTGCAGATGAATTATTGACATCGACATTGGTTCCAAAGCAATGAGGCTGGTCAAGATACAAGAAAATATCCTCGTTTTTCAAACCGTACTTGGCTTCAAGGAACAAAAATTGGCCCTCTACAGTCAAATCTGTCCCGATTTTTCTGGTTTCCATTTGATAAACGATCACATTTTGCTTGTCATCGTAATAGACCACGCACTTGTATTTCTTTGAAGCCAAAATATCCTGTGCTACCTTGGAGTTGGAATAATCCTTCAAAAGAGCGCCGACATCAAACAATGCTGTCGTGCTATTTTTGAAAATAAAATCCATCAAAGTGTTAAATTGATGATCCTTGAGAATGCCAAGCCCCTTGGTGACAGCAGCATAATCGTAAATTTCGGGATAATCTTTCGTGTAGCAATTTGGAGGAGGAAAAGCAAACGAGTAATAGATTTTTTTCTCGATCACAGAAGACTGGTCCACATTGATCTTAAGATTGGGCATCCGGTCAAAGTTCTTGAAATTGTATAAGGTGCCGCTGTATCCAATGAACAGACAGCCTGAAAAGACATCGATGGCAGATGATACGAGTTGATGAGGCGATGTCTTGAGGCTCTCGATTACGATCTCCTTGAAAAACTTTTTGAAATTTTCGTCATCTTGATATATCTTGTCCCTTAACCGGTTGAAGAACTGCAAATGGGTTGGTTTCTGTGTTCTCTTAATTTTTTTCAGCTCTTTAGACTTGTAATAGATCCTGAGGGCAGAATAAATATTCTCCTCAGTAAAGAACAGAGGAGGTTCGCTGAGATCTTTCATCTCGTTTTCAAAGTAAAACTTTAGCGAAATGGCAATGATGAACATCTGGTTTCCAAAGCTGCTGCCTTCCCTTGGTGTGTTTGCCATCGAATATGGGATCGGATATGGAAGCGGGGATTTCATGGATGCTCCATACCCCACATTTCGGATTTTTTCCCAGCAATTGACAAAAAGATGATCAACGATCAACGTGCGAGTTTCATTGCTGGTTTTTGACAAGATRTCATTGAGCTCCTTTTTCAGCGTATTTTTGAAGGACTCAGTAGTAGATGGCGTAAGAGGCTCTTTGATCTCAAAAATGGTGATATCTTCTCCAGTTTGCGATTTGAATATCTTTTTTCCTCTCAAAGACAGGAAGCACTCAATAAGCAAATCAATGAACACCCAGTCCTTTTTATCGGGCTCGTTTATGTCAAAGTTGTACAGAATGGAAAGATCTATGATTTCATCCACTTCGTCGCCAACAAATATCGAGTAGTACTTGATGAAATACAAGATCCTCACAACCCAAACAAAAGACCTTTTTGACGCGTCCGTGTTTTGCAAATACAGTTCCTTGATAGCATTCAACAGACATTGGATGCTGTTTATCGAAGACACGAATGCATCTCCACGATGATGCGCCATTGTAAGGCGATAGTAAAGATGGCGCAAATACGACTCGCTGTACCCATAAAGCGATCGTTCTGCTTTGAACTCGAAAACTCCTTTCCCGAAAAAGTCAAAAAGCCATTGCCGCAGTTGCAAAATGTTCTGGTTGAGGATGGAATTGGGAAAGACGAAGATCGGCAGTTTCCTCAAAATCGACGTTGCCAAGATTGCGGCAGCGGGACCGAAACGCGTAGTCTTTCCGCCAGCCATTCCTTGTTGCACGACATACGAGTTTCCATGCATCGTTTCGTTTAAAATGTTTGATATGATGGCCTTTTGTTCTTCATACAAAGGAAATCCCGTGAAAAACTCGATCAGAATGAAAACTTTTTGATGAACCGTGACCACTAATTGTTGATCAGGCACATCTCCGCTTTGTTGAGTAGAAGGTTCTTTTTTCTGAACACAGGTTTGGCAAAAAATAGTATTTTTCAAATGACGAGACTCGCAATAAAAGAATCTGATGAAATGGGACCACAAAAGATCAAGCAACTCTGGGGTCTTTTCAGCACTGACAATGAAAAAGGCCCGGAGTTCTTCAACCGACCCGCATAGCAGTATTTGGGCGAGAAGCCTGGGGTCTTTCAAGGCTCTCAAGGGAAACCCGTAAAGAAGCTCATCAGTGGACACTATTGATTTCAATTTCTGTTCAACTGAAGCAACATCACTAAACAATGTAAAGCTTGCACTTGCCTTGAACAAAACAGATGAAAGGGCATTCCTTTGCATGGTTATTTTTAGGAGATTTTCATAGTCTTCAGGACGCGATGGGAGTATTGCGGAGATGCTGATCGATTTCTCATAAGGAATAAATGACTTGAGTTCCACGGATTCGTCATAAATGTTCAACAGGTTTCGAGGAAACTTCTTGTTTTTAAATTGAGCAAAAAAAGTTGCAAGTTTTTTCTTATCAGGGAGCTTGTTGAAAATCATGAAGATCACATGAAATAAGCAAATAATTTCGTAATTTGTCTTATCTTTCTCTATTTCAAGATAAAATCGTATAAAATCGAGATAACGAGAATTTAATTTGCTCGTAAAATCAGTTAAATCTTTGGATGATCCGGCTAGGTCGTATAGAAAATGCAGATAGCTCGGCAAGCGAAAAGATTCAAATTTACTCCAATCAATTGGCTCTGATTGTAGAAAGATATCTTTATAGGATTCAGAGTGAATTTTTACGATATCATTGTCGAGTCTTTTGATATTTGGTTTCAATTTTGACGACTTTCGATCGCTACGAACGATTTCCAGCCTCTTAGAATATGCCCAAAAATATTTATCTTCACCGATGTTAGGAAGGAAAGAGAAAAGCACCCTTTTATACTTGAATGGGATAACGGAAATCAAATTCGCAATCTCGGTAATATTTTCAATCCTATTGGTTTCATCCAAAAAGCCTTTGAAAAAGATTTCATGTTCACCAAGAAGATGCTTTGCCCAAGTTTTTATCACAAGATACTCAAGATCACGGTATTTAATTTCGATGATGTTTCGCAAAATAACCAATTCGATCTCAGTGAGTTGCAAAGAAACACTCGAATACAACGAAACGTATTCCATAGCGCGGTCATAGTATCTTAAAAAGACAAGCCAATATACGATGGCAAGTTCGATCTCTCGATCATGGCCCTCAATGTTGAAATGATCATCGTTACACGTGGTCTTGACAAAAGTAAAGTTGTATGACTCTCCAGGCTTTGACAGAGGCACCGGAATGATAATTTGAAAATATTTTTCAATCGACACAAATAGAAATGGAAAGTTGGAGGAAGCGAAGAAATTTTCCTTGATGCTACCAGGAAGGTGGATCTTGAATTTCTCGCCGTTGATAACAGCGAAATAGTCGTCGCGCCCCTCTTTCATAACGTAAAAGTCTTTTGCTGTGCCATTGTGGCTGTCGAAGAAATAAAACGATTGATCCTCACTTTCTAGAATGAAAATGTACGAGTCCATTGCAAAGTTAAAAAGCGCCCCACGCGCTAAAAAAGCACCAAGCACCGATTGCGATATCGAAGAGAAGGAGCAGAACGACTTTATGCGAAAAGAGCATGGAAGTGGGCTTGATACATTTCCCACAAATCTGGACGAGTTTTCCAAAACCAGAGTATTTCTGCCATAAATCCTTCCATACAGAAATCCATCTGCATCAAAAATGTAAAAAACACTGTGACTCCACAACCAATTCCACAACTTCCACCACGATTTATAGCACGTTCCGAATACAATGAGAGCATGATCTGATCCTACCATTTTGCTGTTGAATGAAATTTCGAGGTCCAAATGTGAATGACAAAGCTTCAACTCGCCAGAAACAAGCTTGGCTTCCACTTCACCATTCTTTACTAAAAATGCATTGTTTTCCTGCAAAACAACATTTATGTAATTGCATTTGAGGATGGAGAATATTGAATTATCAGATCGACGTTTATGTAGAGAATATTCTACATTAGAATTGCGGTTTTCTTTGACATTCATAATCTTCCACAAGGGGTGGTTTGGGAATGGAAGTCCTGGAAGGGTTGTACGTTCCCCATCTATCAGAAGATTTCCATTCACCAAATTTTGGATTCCTTTGTCTGTTTCCTTTGCACATCTTGATTTAGAGGAGGGAAATTTCCAATAGTCATAATACATCTTGAGAACATACTGAATTTCGTTCCTGAAAAAGAATGTTTTTATGAGTTCAAAATTAGATATCACCGACAAATAGAGGTCATGGCTATTTGACAGGTTAGAAAACTTTTCCCCAAGTATCAGCGTATTAAGCTTGAGAAAGGCAAAAATTGCATCAAATTTCCCCACAAAAACCTTTTCAAGATCGCCAAGATCGTCAATACTGGGCTTTATTGTTTGAAGGGACATCAAGTGATTGAGAATGACCTGGTAATTTGCCAAAAGCCTAAACAGCTCAGTGTCATCATCTTTATATGTCGAAACCTCGCCGAGTATTTTCATCTTTTGAGACAAAAAATATTGGATAAGTAGAGGTAGAGCCCGTTTCGTGTCATAATCATTGGTATATGTCGATGGTTGAAGGATGAAGCGGTAAATGATATTCATTCCAGCTTCAGATAAAATAAAAGCATGATCTTCTTGGAGATGATTCAACAAATAAAAAACAGACGCAAATTTTTTTTCCAAATTCAACAAGCGCAGCGGCCGTTTTTCTTTCCCCGATATTGATTGAATTTCTTTAAGATTATTGTAATCACCTGGTTGTATAAAGGAATCTTCGCTATCATCAGCGGTTGTATAGAAATACGAGGGTGCATTTATCCTGTAAACATATGGGCTGTGATTCTTATTCAATATCTTGTAAAACATGTGTAAAAGATTGTAATAATGTCGGTCAAGTAAGAAAGTTTCTGGAATCACGGTATTATTGGAATTTTCAATGTTAACAGGGTTCCCAATTACTGTTAAGATATATGCTATACTTTTAAAATGGTGTGGATCATAATCTTCAAGGTAGTCCTCTCTATCAAGCAGATAGAGATCTAAAAAACTTTTCATTTCATCTGGCTTTGGAAGATCTTTTCTGTCTTTGAACAATATAGAGACTAGTTTAGAGGTAATTTCTTGATCCTTAGGGGCAAAATAAATACCTTTGTGTTCCCTTGGTAAGTTCCTTCCCAGAAGATCCATTTCATTTAAATATAGAAATTCGGGTGATAAATGTGCAAAGAATGAAGTATTGATAAGCTTAAACTTATTTTCATCGTTATTCAAAGAGCTCTTTAGATATCGTCTGTATATTTTTTTGTAGGTATCGAAAATCTCAACCAAAATGAGAGCCTTTTGGTACATCATAATATCTTTTTTTTCAGAATAATCCAATAAAGCCAGTATTTTCATCGAAAATGCGTAAAGAAAGCCCATTTTTTCGACATTTGATGAATCAAAGGTTTCGACCATTTGAGTCACCCGAAATGTCAGAGAGTCCAGATACGAAAGTAGAGGGATCTTTTCTCCCATAAAACATGGCTGATAGGCGAGTTCATTATTCAAAAAATGGAAAATTGAATTTGAAAATTCAGTAAAATTTAGAGGGTCATAAGCRCCATCTGCATACTCGAAATTGGGAAGCTCACAGTAAAACGTATCATTGACGGATAACTTGTCGTGAGACCCAAGCCAAAAAGGCGTCCAATCGGGACAAGAAAAAGAGGCTCTTATGTCTCTATTATCTGCTATTTGTGTAGGAACGGTGTCAAAGCTATTTTTGTTTTTGAAAATTTGGAATTGGTCATAGGCTACTTTTAGATCTTTGAAAAAGATATGTTCTTTCGTTTCAAACATACCGTTGCCAATTTCAACTAGATATGCGAACATCTTATCAGCAAGATCGACATTGGATCTTAAAAAGTGAAACTTTCCTATGTTGTTCAAGACATTGGTATAAGATGCCAATGTGTGTTGGTTTAAGCTTCCAATGCTTTCGCGTGTTTCTTTTGATATAAATGGAATCAACGCGAAAAACTTTATCGCCCATTCAGTTAAATAACTTTGGGCTAAAACTACTAGCGTAGYCACAAACTTGAAAGGAAACATATTAGCTATTTGGTACATAATTTTGTAAAAAGGAAGTAAAATCGATGGGAACACCAAGAAAAGCTTATATCTGGAGAGATGTGATTTTGAAATGATATTTGAAAAGTTCTCAGATGCAAAATGCTGCAGGCCACTTAACGATGCAACACCAAAAATCTTATTATAAGCATCGAGCTTAAATGTAAAATATGCGTGATAAGATGAAAAATCGGATGTTTCTGTTCTTTGGCGATAAATAAAAACGTCATATGTTGCATTGGACCGATCAAAATCGGCCAACAATCTGAGATAGAAGTTCTTTATATCCTTTGTATATCGGTAAAAGTACATTGCAGTCTTAACCCAGGCTTCATTGATAAGAATCGGAATACCTTCGTATATTACGACTGGCGAATATTTTGCCTTTGGGCCAACAATGTACAATGGGTGATATTCTAACTCATCGCCACTGTTGTAAATAAGGACCTTCCATAAATACTCATGTTTGGGATCAGGAGAGGCGACCTTGAAAATTTCACACAACATTGCATGTCCTGAAAGTCCACAATAGAAAACGACAGAGTTTGTCTCATTTCCGAAAGCTTTTAGGTCTGTATTGGATGGCAAGATTTTCAGATTCTTTATCTTCTGATAGACATCAGATGGATCAAAGTTTGAGACCTGTTTAATTGTGTGCATAATCTTTTCGTAGACTCCAGAGCTAATGCCGTATTCTTTTTTGAGCAAATTCTCCTTGGAAAACGAAAATATGGTATCAATGGCTTCATTTGCAGTTTTTGCAGTTTGCCCTTCAAATACTTGCGGAGTAAAATCATCTG